GAATCAAAGTTTAATACCTCTTGGTGCACTGTTTTAATGCACTTTTCTGGTAAATATTATGATTCATTTTTGATACCAGTTTTTGTCTTTCGTTTCTAAAACTATTCAACCCCTGTCTTTGTTTGATATATAAAGTATCTAGAGTAAATAAAATGAGCAGCAGATTTAGATATGGAGAAACAAGGTATGGATTAGAAGGTATGAAAGGCTTCCATTCGATCTCATAATATCTCTAATGTCGAACAAGATCTACATATGGGGTGGCGTGATCCAAACAAAAGATTACTCTGCTATGAAAGGTTTTAACACATTATCTTCAATTTGTTTCGGTATAAACGTTAATATATATATTTTTTAAACTTCCAGAGAAATATATAAACAATTACTACTGCTATAATAGATATGCACGGAGACATTTAAGGCTCTTAATTGGACATGACAACAGATAAATAAACTCGTAACTCTGAAAGGACATCACTTTTTTGTGAACTGGCCATGTATAACAATGCGTTCAGATTGCTGGCTCTTATACAATCACTCATTTTTATCAAATTTGATAAGGCTTTCGAGAGGCTAGGATTTTGCTGGGTTTCACCAAGAGTTTCCGGCACAATTCTCTTTAAACGTTACTTGCCCTGAGATGCAACTTGAAACGGGCAGAAAAAAAAAAGACAAATTCTGAGACAATGCCGAATTAATGGTGATTGCAAATGACATTCGAACAGTCTTGTGCTTGAAGGATAAAATTTTAATTAATAAACTAACTCAATGTTTTGATAATTTTTAATTTTTCGATATGCAGACCATCAGTGATCTTCAAGATTATCGCAATCCGAGCGAATTTTCATCCATCTAGTTGCAATTCACACAATAAAGGGTATCAAAATGATTCTACAGCATTATAAAGTTGTACAAATTCATACATCAGTTACTTATCAAATGATATTGAAGTGTATATTTTCAGTAATAATTAATTAAAACGAATGACGAATTTTGAAAACTGGATCATAGTAACATATAAATAATTTAAAACTTGAGTTAAGGGATTAGAAATGTCATCGGAATGTTTTACCACGTGGCAAATGGTGATTAGAATGCCACTTATGTTGAACAATCTCTATTTGTGAAAAGAAAAACCTCTTTGAACTAACCAGATATTATATAAAACTTTGTCTCTGGAATTCTACTATAAAGGTCTTCATAAAATAATTGGACTTTAAATTAATTTTTGAGATATACCATTTGGTAAATCTCTTTTTAATAACCCTAGTCAAATTTTGATAATCTTCAAATTTTTAATAGATTCCTCATATTTAATTTTATGTAAAACTATATAGATACCAATACATTCTAATAGTTGGTTCCCTGCTACACTTTGGTAGATATTCAAAAAGAATTTGACATTTTCTATTGCAATTTATTAATGAAATGTTTCAACAAGGAAAATCATTTCGAGATAGGTAGGAGGCCATGATTGTAAGTGGTATCTTAAAGCGATAGGGTCTGGAAGATAGGATTGTTACTAGACCATGTGGTGGGCGTTTTCAGCAACCGTGGTGGTACTCGGGGTCTGTGGGCCGGTGACCTGTAGGAACTTCCAGCCAGGTGAGTTGACCACTATACAGCCTTTATATAATATCTTCAAACTGTCATTGTTGATATTTTACATTTTTTAGTTTCAACAAGATAAACTACTAGAACCAATACTTAAAATAGGATCACTCATTCCAGCAAGGTGGGTGCACCGCTTTAAACCTTCTTGCAATATATTTCAAGTGATATTTTACATCAGTTTTTTTTTTCACCAAGATAAAATGGTAGCACTTATAGGTAATTTAGAAACACTATGCAGTCAGTAGGGTAGACCGCTTTACAGTCTACAAACTATAATTTATAATATAAACATTCGGTCGTCCCGAACTCTCGTTCAGCGGAAACGCCGCAAGAAGGCCGCAAAATGAGGAATAGGAGCCTAATGATATTGAAATAACAATTTAAATCTTATTAAAATATTTTAAGTCGATAATGTTATAATACTAACCGAATGACCCTGGATTTACCCGAGAGCATTTTCCCCCGTGTGTGTTTTAGAAATATAAGATTTTAAATTATGTGAAATTTCACAACGATATTTGAAAATTGTATTATTTAGATTTTTATATGAATATATTTTGAATCTTGTATATACATTTTAATCGATATATTTTATCATAACAAGTGATTCCTTGCCCCTACGCCGTCATTACGTCTTGTGTCACTCTTGTGAAACGTCCTGTTCCACCTCCCCCACACACCATCCCCCGTCGCGCCGTGGGCCATCCTCCCGCAGGTGGATTCCACCCATCTTCCCCAACTGTACTCCTCTCAGTTACCGCAGTGAGGCGCTGGTTGCGAGTGAAATAGTGAAATTTGTTAATTACTCAAAGGATATTCGAGATAGAATCCTGAAAAATTGCCTATAAGTTTTTCATTCAACTCTATATACTGTTATGATTTCAGCCAGATTAGTTAAGTATTGTGAACGCTTATAGCAGAAAAACATATATATACATTCAGTGACTATATATATATGATTAGTTTCAATATTTGTAAGAGAAAAAGAAACATGGGTGAGATGGAGACGCCTCAATAAATATCGTCCCGGGCGTATATAACTCAATAACATTCTTTAATAAAAAATATATTACACCAAAATAAATATATAAGGAACTTTATAGGTAATTTGGAATCACTCATTCCATCTGATAATTCATCTTGTAATCACTAGATATTAAAATGCTTCGAGTTCAATATCCTGGTCAGTTAATCCTATGTCCACATTCCAATGAACCCATAGAATCCTGGTTCTATCATAAAAAATAGATTTGAAAATAGAGAGAGCAATCCATAAATAGATCTTCCAATAAAAAGGCATATATTGGATCAAAATATAATTCATTTATCAATATTTCAGTTGGCTGAACGCCAACCTTTTTCAAGGTATTACATAATATGTTGCATATTTTAATACCTTGAAAAGGTTTGCTGTTCAGCCAACTTATTGGTAAATAAATTATATTTTGATCCAATATAGGCTATTTTAATCGAAGATAAAAAAATATATAAATGTTTTCTGAATTCTCATCATATTTTCTTAAATGCTGGGAAATTTATAATAACCTACACCCTCTGTTAGGGTTCAAATTTCGCTAACGATAAACCAGGAACTCTTAAATTGCTGGAATTGTAGTTTATTGAATTCAACCAATTTTTTTTTTTTTTTACACCTGACCTACTTCGTCTGGTCAAAATTAAATAAACATCAAAATGAAAACGTAGAACATAGAAAAATGAACAAAATAATTTCTTGTATTCGATATGTAGTGTTTGCACTGCCATAGTTTTTACATTGAATAAAATGAAACTGTTTTAACGGTAAATTTTAATCTTTAAATTAAATAATTTCCTAAAAAAATTCCCACAAAATTTTTTTATTTATCTATATATATAAAAATCAATGTTTGTATGTTTGCTTGTTTGTTTGTTTGTTTGTATGTTTGTTTGTTTGTATGTTTGTTTGTTTGTATGTCCGGTATACAAATTCGCAGTAGTTCACTAATTCAAACCAAAATTTCCATACATAGTTAAAAAAATACGGGGAAGACGATAGGCTATTTTAAAAAATATATAAATCAATTATTAAAACTATATATTCAAATTATTCTACTTAGCTCACAAACAGCGCCCTCTATCAAAGATTAGATTAAATTATGCTGATGCAAACAAATAGATAATGCTAATAACAAACAATTATTTAAAAAATCTTATCTAAATATATATCACTCGGGTAGATATGCAATCGGGTCAATCCCGGGGCGAAGCCCGGGTCACCCGTCTAGTCTATATCTATATATATATAATTGAATGTCTGTCTGTCTGTTTGTCTGTTTGTCTGTGGTCTGTGTGTACTCTATAGATTCAAAAACCGTACATCCAATCGCCGTGAAATTTTGGGATATTATTAGGCATATCCCCGGAAAGGTTTACGAAAAATAATATCTTGAATATCTTTAATATCCTTAGAGTTATTTGCAGATTTGTAGCTTTAACTCGCAAGCAGCCATTGAGACGGAGATAGGCTTAAGTTTGCTGCTCCTGATGACCTTGGGTCTGCCCCACCCCGTGAGAGAATGGATTCGCCCGGCCGCCGGCCGACAGTCCAAGTACCCACCGACCAATCAGGGCAGAGTTGGTGACACAGCTATGCCAAGTAGACAAGAAAAAAAGCCTCGCGGGAGCTTGCCCAAGATGACCTCCGGGAACTTTGTCCATCTTCCATAAACGACCATGAATTTATTCAACCTTATCGAGTATTTTTCAAGGGACCGGGAAAAATGTTCACTAGATAAAACGATGATTTTGTAATGTAGAAAATTAGGAAAGACAAAATTCAGAATGACACGGCACACAGGGACCGGGAAAAAATGATCACTTTATCAGTTTCAAATTATCAAATATATCTATTTCTTTTTATAAGTTTATAGAGAATTGTTTTAACAAATGTTCGTTAGACAGACCTTTACTCGGGTACCGATTAATATTGATTTTATTCAACTTATCGAGTATTTTTCAAGGGACCGGGAAAAAATGTTCACTTTATCGAGAGATTCGTTAGACAAACCTTTACTCGGGTAAAACACGGGCGAAGCCGGGTACATCCGCTAGTATATATATAAATGAATGTCTGTGTGTGTGTGTGTGTACTCTATGGATTCAAAAACCATACATCCAATCGCCGTGAAATTTTGGAATATTATTAGGTATATCCCCGGAAAGGTTTACGAAAAATAATTTATTGAATATCTTTAATATCCTTAGAGTTATTTACAGATTTGTAGCTTTAACTCGCAAGCAGCGCCACCATTGAGACCGAGATAGGCTTAGGTTTTGGTCCACACCTGATGACCTTGGGTCTTTCAGGGCTAATATATTAAGTAAAACTAATTCAAATATTAGTGCTCTAGTGCTATCTCCTTGAGGTTACCGATTTAAAAGTTTAAATAATTATATATATATATTTAATTATATATATTTAAATACTATATTATATACCGTATATATATAGTATATATTATATACCGTATATATAATTGTGCAAGACGATATATATGATATATAAAAATCAAAAGAAATAATGAGTATCGTTTAAATATAAAATTCGAATAAATATAAATGCGATACTAAAAATTAAATTTCTATTCAATGAATTAAATTAAAAAAGTTTAAATAATTGTGCAAAACGATATATATGATATATAAAAATCAAAAGAAATAATGAGTATCGTTTAAATATAAAATTCGAATAAATATAAATGCGATAATCGTTTAACATAATTTGAGTATTTTTTCAAGGGACCGGGAAAAAATGTTCACTAGATAAAACGATGATTTTGGAATGTAGAAAATCAGGAAAGACAAAATTCAGGATGACACGGCACACAGGGACCGGGAAAAAATGTTCACTTTATCGAGAGATTCAAATTTACGAGTTCCAAATTATCAAAATATATCTTTTTTTTTTAAATAAGTTTATTGAGAATTGTTTTAACAAATGTTCGTTAGACAAACCTTTACTCGGGTAAAACCTCGGGCGAAGCCGGGTACATCCGCTAGTTATATATAAAACGTAGTTTCGGGAGATAGTATTCATGCACCAAGAGAGGTACTACTTAAAAAAAAAACACGATGAAGCAAAATACAATGGTATAATACTTTTTAAAGGTACATATATATATGGCACGCTAACGCCATATGTCTATAGTATTAGTTGAACATCTATAACTTCTATAACTCACCATCTTCCTCTGTGGTTTTAAGAAGTTAGAATTCGGAACACTTCTTCTTTTGTAGCAAGGCATTGGGTGTGAGTTGAAGGAAGTTTTGAGCTATTTTCTTCACATTAGCTCTGGCTTTGATACTACTTTGGGGTTCTAAAGTCCGGAAGTAAATCAGAGGCTATCGTTGTAAAATAAAAAAGAAGAATACGCAAATATACACCGTGTTTTTTATGTCTCCATTAAGACTATATATAGCTAAAGGCCAATTTTCTTGTTGAAACCTTTTTCTTCTTTCTTGGACTCTGTGACGAGTCTATGTATAAGACGATATACCGTAATAAAATGCATCTGTTGTTATTGATATAAGTTTGAGGTTTAAATTGATTTGCTTTTCTGAAAGTTAGATTATGTTTATATGCAACCTTTCAAATTTGAAGGAATTTCTGTCGAACAAAGTCGAATATAATTTGACTTTAATATAACCCTGGAGTTTGGATTGATAGACTGCTCTGTTTGGTTAGTCATATTGGTAGAACTAGGGAATATAAATTTAAACATGAGTGGTCACTATTGTGATATATAACTTTCGTCCTCGTCAGCCAGGTCTGGGTGAAGACAACTTCGTATTTGGATATTCTCTGATGAAGGTCTCATTTATATTGTTCCCAATTTGATACCACCACTCTGGAGAGTTAATTCTGATTGAAATCAGGTTAGGATTTTTAAAACGTTATGAAAGATTTGATAGTGTTTATAAAGGTTGATTTTTTCGAAAGTTTCTATACTTATTGGTCATGTAGTGGGGCCTTATACTTGGAACACTGTGAGTGATCAGATATCAGTTTTATATGAAATTTAATTTATAGCTTTGGTTTGAATCAGTAGGGAGGCGAATGCTGGGTTCTGGTTATAAATAATTTTGAATTTAGAAAAGTGAAGGATAAATCACGTACATCGCGCTGTAGTTAGGTTTTATTTGTTTAGAGCAGCTTCATATTTGATGAATTGGGAAACCTCACTCTTGATATTGAAGAGCAGGTTTAGTTTGAACAAAGTCGGATTTATGATATATAGCCATATTTGGAATAATATAAATTCAATTTTCTACATATTTCTTCATAAAAGCTGTAACAAACGTCAACGAAAGCAAATATATATTAAAACTAGCCGAGTGACCCGGGCAACGCCCAGGGTTTACCCAAAGGGCCTGCAGAGACTTTAAAAGTATAGATGGTGGCTTAAAAATCGCAATGGGTATATTCCGATTTCCTAGAAGCAGCATTTCAAGTAAGGATAAGTAAAAATACTTTCTAAGTATAAATTCGCTAATCCGACCATGTTTTGATTTCCAGAACCTATGAAATTACAAACAGTAATTCGACAATACCGATAATTCGACACCTTGCGATAATTCGACCTTGATTTGATTTCCCAATCTCTGGCCTATCAAATAAAAAACGGTAATTCGACAATATTAATTTTTCACCACTTCTGATAATTCAACCATTTTAAAATGCAAATTTCGACGATTGATGTTCACTTACAACTTTACTAATAAAAAGGTATTATAGATGCGAGCAACGAAACATTTTGAACCCATATAACGCAAATTCATATCCTCACTTATAGGGTGTCAAGCCTAAAGGAAGCGAATTCATGTCCCTGATTTCTAAAAATGAACATAAAATTGTAGGCTACCAACGCGAATTCGCGTCTACTGGGATCTTTTCCCATACCTTCTTGCCTATTTATCAGTGGGTTGGGTTGGGGGGGGGATGTCAGCTGTCCCAATGTACCTGTAAAATGTCACATGCGACCGAGTTCAAGCAGCCATTATTTTTATTTATTTCAAGCTATATAGATTACATTAAAAGAAAATAGCATTTCTTAAACATGTTTTTATATGAACAACTCGATTTTCATACGGCCCACTGGACCATGTAACTCTGGAATCATAAGTGCAAAAACAGACATCCCTAAAGGATTTCTTTAAAATATCTTCATGATTCTTTTTTAATAATATTCTTAAACATTTTTAATTTTTTTTCATATTTATTTACTTTTCAATATAGAAAATAAGATAGCATAAAAGGGATAAATTCATTTAATGGACCTCACTAAAAACTGCATTTCTAGCCGAGTGACCTGGACAAAGCCCCAGGTTTACCCTAAAGGCCTGTGAATGGGCAGGATAACCATATGTGTGCCATTGCAAAGATCCTAAATCAATGTATAGAGCACTGGGGAAAATAGGTAAAGACCAAAAGTCAAAATAAAAATAAATATTTTACTAATGAACAAATAATACAAAAAATTGCTTTCAGGTGAGAAACTATAGGCATTGGTGAAAACTTTAAACAATTATATTGAAAAAAAAAGAAAACAAATATTAAAAGAAAATTCAATACAACACAATTATATAGCAAATACAGCCATTATTTCTAGCCGAGTGACCCGGCAACGCCCCGGGTTTAGCCTAAAAACATGTGAAGCGCTAGATAACCATATGTGAGCCATTGCAAAGATCCTGAATCAATGTATAGAGCACTGGGGAAAATAGGTAAATAAAGACTAAAAATCAAAATACTTAATTATAAATATTTTATTAGTGAACAACTAATAATAAAAAATCCTTTCAGATGAGAAACTATAGGCATTGGTGAAACTTTAAACAAATTTTTTGGAAATGAAACAAAAATTAAAAGAAAACAAATCTTAAAAGAAAATTAAATACAACACAACAATATACCAAATTAGACAACATAAAAGGCATACATTCATTTATTTGAAATGCAAAAAAAAATTAAAAGAAAACAAATCTGAAAATAAAATTGAATACAACACAACTATATAGCAGATAAGACAACATAAAAAGGATAAATACATTTAAAGGACCTCATTAAAAACTACATTTCTAGTTTTATAAATACGTGGGTTCAACTTTACCCGTATGCTATTCAAAGTTCGCACACGTGAAAAAGCCACATAGAGCTGTCCATGAGTAAACACGGGCTCTTGTAGCAAGAGACCCACTCTAGCAAAGGTTTGGCCTTGAGCCTTATTAATAGTCATGGCAAAAGCCAACCTTAGTGGAAACTGACGCCTCTTCAGAATGAAGGGAAGGTTGGTATCTGAAGGAGCCAAAGATATTTTTGGCACCAATACAGTTTGTCCAACTTTGGTCCCTGTCAGTATTTGTGCTTCTAGGACATGAGAGCGCATGCGCTGGATAACCATACGTGTGCCATTGCAGAGACCCTGCTTAGGATTCAAATTTCTAAGGAGCATAACAATAGCACCAATCTTAAGGTTTAACCGGTGTGGAGGCATTCCTGTGGGAGTAAGGCTATTAAGGAATTCAGTAGGGTAGTTATTTTGTTCCTCCACATTCTCACACTCGACACTGTCAACACTGAGAAAACACTGACTCCTGTTTGGTAAGCGATCCAAAACTTTTTCATTAATCTCTAATGAATCTGTGTTTTTTGGCGTTAAAATCACAGACTGACTAAGGGCGGTAATATCACCATAGGAAGAACCAAATATTTCCTGCACCAGGTCAACCCCATGAAAGATACAGCTTTCTGGAAGAGAAATGAGGCCCTGTTGGTCTGTAGGTAGATCACCATCACCAACTTTAAGTAACCATTGAGAGAAGCTCTGTGCATCAATACCTGCTCGCATATTCTGAGTAAGGCGCAAGATCACAAACAATGGTCATAGCTTGCTTTGCTTAATGCAAGCAGCAACAATTTCAGCTCTTGAAGCTCGAGGTACCACAGGTAGCACTTGGCGAAAGTCACCTCCAAGAACAACAACCTTTCCGCCAAAAGCAAGGTCACAATGAATAATGTCCTTTAGGAGACGACCACAATTTCAAGTGCTCTGTAGTGGGCCATAGGAGCCTCATCCCAAATAATTAAGGATGATCTACGAATAAGCTCAGCCTCAGAACTATTGGCCGAGATCGCAGCTACAGAATTCTCAAGCAAGGGAATCGGCAGCTTAAACCTGGAATGGACAGTCTGGCCACCTGACAAAAGGGTAGCCGCTATTCCAGTGGAGGCCAGCGGAATGACAATTTTTCCAACGGCTCGAACACAATGAATTAGGGTGTTATAAACATAAGTCTTGCCCGTACCACCAGGCCCATCAATAAAAAAGCAACGTGTATTTACATTGAGGGAATCAACAATTGTGTCAACAATTGACTTTTGATCTGGTGTAAGGGACCTATACATTTCTGTCCCAATTTGCAGCTCTGCATTAACATCAAGGTGATCCTCTCCTGAATCAAGAAGTGGGATTAGGGGTGAAGGAAGTCCATAATGGTGGCAACTGAGGCGATTTTCTCTCAGCTGGAATTCAAGCTCTCTGAGAGTCATCTGTTCAGCAGCTGCGTCAGATGTTGCACGAGAAAAGTCCTCACTAAGATACCCCTTGTATTTGGTCCACAGTGATACAGGGTCGGTAGGATTATTGTAGATGAGAATTGTCGCAAAGAGCTGCCGCAGTTGACAAGGCATTTGGAACAAAGCCGCCTCAGCTAAGCATGCATCCCATTCAGAATCATCAGCCAATAATCCACGGCGCTGGGCAGCCTCTTTAAAAGTGGAGCAAACAATATCATCCACAGTTCGCAAATCTTCAAAACTCTGAGCACCTGCAACATGTAATAGTAGAAGCCGGAGGTGGTAACGCTCAGAATCTTTAGGATTCACTGAACACATACGTCCAATGCACAAAGCCCCACCCCGAACTCTAGCACTCCATTGATTCTGCCTGAAAACATAAGCGGAAGGTATGTCTCCATATAAAAGTGATCTTGCGGATACATTAACACAATTGAGCTGAAACCAGGCAGTCAGAGTTGTGCGTCTGCGTGAGGCATTTTCAAGAGCCTGTTCTTCACTACCTTCAACAAAATATACAGATTGAAAATTAGGTAGATGAACAGCTAAGCGACATATGGTATGCGAGTGAGCATGCAAGCGATATTCAAACATGCGCCACATTGCCTCAGGAGCACTTACATACCGAGCGTCAAGAAAGTTTTTGATTTCATCATGTGCCCTGCCTTCCATATCTAATTCTCCAACAGACACTTCCACCTCAGCCCTGTCGTGTCCCTTATATACATACTTGAAAAGATATTTGACACTTTTCACAGAGGCACAGACCTCCACATTAATGTGAGCATTGAACCTAACCAGCAGATAGGGGTTATAGGGAACAACCCAGCGGTTATCCACCTCGTGAGTGCCCACAACTAATGTCTGGCCGTCATCTCGACGTCTGTAGCGAGGATAGCCATTATTGTTAGCCTCAGTCAGCTGCAGGAATGATTTAGGGAAGTCTTTAGTACACTTGCCATCAGACATGCATGGTGAGTGAAGATTGAAGTTTCCACAAGGACCATGGTTCATATGTTTACGAACCATGTCATACAGCTGAACCTGCATAGTAGGGCTAGGAATTTCTGCACAAACCAATCTATCAATGGCATCCCTGTTTCTAGGCTTGTCTTCTTCTCTAAGCATAAACAGCATGTGGGCATGCGGTAAACCGCGTTTTTGGAACTTAACAACATGCACCCGAGCAATGACCACTCCCAATACATGCTGACTAACAATCTCGCGCAGTAATTGTTGTAACTTGAGATTGAATACTCTAGCCACCAGATCCGGTCTATCAGAAGGATTCTGGTTAGGAAGAAGATTTTCAACAATGTCAGTCCAACGTGGGTTACAGGTAAATGTCACGAATAGGTCAGGTCTTCCAAACTTTCTAACAATGGCCATCGCATCCTGATAGTTTTGTTGCATGGCCCGGGAACTCCCAGGAAAGGAAGATGGAAGAATAAAAATACGGCCTATTCGCACACCCCGAGAATGTTCCTGTTCATGGATATAATCCATCAGACTTTGATATAACTCCACCCTAAGCAGGGACTGATTTTGGCGAATATAGTTCAGCCGATTGCCCTCTGTTTTAACATAGGCATCAACAACATATTGCTGAAATAGTCTCCTGCCATAGTGAATGGGCGAAAAGCCAGGTCTGATGGCCAACCTATAACTATAGAACTGAAGCATGGTAACATGGTTTCTAGTTCTTGTGCGCATGTTTTCTTCATGTAAGATTCCTATTGTTCAACCAGGATCACCGGCAGGAAATAAAAGAGGGTATGTCATTGGGTCACAGTTAGGATTAAGTGGAGAAATACGCACTAAACCACGATCATGCGGAAAAACAGCAATATCTCTGTTCGAAGGTACATTGCCATCTTGATCAACAAAAATGGCCGCAACTTCACTTACACTTGGCGCATTATATCGGCGAAGATCTCTACAATGATTTTGCCGGATGAGCATCTGAACCTGACACATTTGCCGGTTCTCAATGCGAGCCCGCTTTTCCTCAGCTAGTTCCACCTGGTGCATCTGCCTGTAAGCGGAAGTATACGGATTCACACGCCTAAGCACAGAATCCAAAAGAGTCAATATACCAGGATGGCATTCCAAAGGCCTAGATGCTGCAATGCGGATATTATTCGCAGCCTCAGAATCCAAAATATAAAGTTGGGCATAAGACGGGGCTCTGTTTTCATGAGGATGAAGGGGCCCAGTCAAATGATAGATCTGTCCATGGATTCTATAACAAAAAGGCCCCTGTCCAGAAAAGACATCAACCTGCGCACCCATGGAGGCAAAGGCCAAAGAGCTGTTGTAGCTCCGAATGTTGGTCTGGAAGTACTTAGTCTCCACACTGTTTGAAGTCATCAATTCCATCATTTCATATGGAAAGGAGGTCAAAGTAGGAAGAATAACTTTCCCTTTGTGGCAGCAGGAGCTACCAACAGTTTCGCCAGGGAAATGAAGGGCTGAGCAGTAAGGGCAGACTATATCGAGGCCCCCAATAATATATTCAGTGGGAACAGGAGAAATAGGATTAGGGGCGTTGTTCCTGTGGCGAGTCATATAAGCGCGCCTGGACTGGAGAGCGAGTCTTACACGGCCTCTGCGAGGCATGATACAGAAGCCGCTGAAAAAAAAAAGCTAAACTAAAAACCAAGTAGAGCAAATACATTCCAAACACAGCAAATACAGCCCAACCTAATTTAAAAAATGGGAGCTAAAAATGAAAATATTTTATTTTAATATATAGATAATTTAATTTAAAAGATCTCATTATAAACAACATTTCTATTTTATATATACGAGGGCCATCCAATAAATAAGTTTCCCTATTTTTTAACAAATAAACCACATTATTTACAATTATGCAGTTATTTTATTTTCATTATACAACTCATAGACTACTTCTCTAAATAATCACCATTTCTGTCCAAACATTTTTGGTACCGTTGTAGCAATTTTTTGATACCACTGTTGTACCAAGCCGTGTCCTGTCTTCGTAGCCAGTGGTTCTCCTCCGCCTGCACTTCGTCATCATTCGCAAGGTGCCACTTGAGTGCTGGAAAAAGATGGAAGTCGCTTGGGGCAAGTTCCGGAGAATAAGGTGGATGTGTGAAAATTTCCCATTTGAAGTTTTCCATAGCCATAACTTTGCCTGCAGAGATTGTGACCTTCGCCTTTTTTGGTGCACTTTCCTCAGGCTTCTTCCACACCATGCTTTGTCGTTTTGTTTCTGGAGTTGAATGATGCACCCAGCTTTCATATCCAGTGACAATACGGGAAAACAGTTGATCTCCATCTCTTTGATGCATTTCCAGGAAAGCTCGGGGTGCCTCCATCCGTTGTTGCTTGTGATTTTCCAAAAGCAAACGTGGGACCCATCTTGCGCAGACTTTGCGAAAATTCAAAATATCTGACATGATTGTTCCGATCGAAGAGCGTCCAATTTCGATTCCAGGAGGCAGTCGAATCATTATTCCGTCAATGGTGACGCGGCGATCTGCTTCCACCACATTCCGAACAGCTGCAACCGCTGCATTGTCCGTAGCAGTAACGGGCCTGCCGCTTCGCTCGTCATCATGCACGTTTTGCCGTCCTTCTAAGAACCATGAACGCCATCGGCGAACCATTTGGATGCTCATACATTCTTCACCATACACTGACACTAAATTGCGATGAATATTGACCGCAGTTTCATTTTTCGCCGTGAAAAAACGAATTACAGAACGGAGTTCGCAAGTGGACACGTTCACCAGTGGTAGCTCCATGGAACCTGAAGCGCTACGGACTTGCGCGTACGAGTAGCGTGATATTGAGGTCACCAGCTTCCAACGCATCCTAGTGACCATTTCTTCCATACTAACTAATTTTTACAACGTTTCGTTTGCAGAAAAAAAAATAGGGAAACTTATTTATTGGATGGCCCTCGTATATACAATATTACCTCCTCAACAGAAACCAGACAGCAATGTCACCATCATCAGACAAAAGAATCAATGAGATTTCATTCTTTAGTTCATTTATTCTTTTGTCTGATGCTGTTGGCGAAACGTCACACACTATTAAATTATTTGGATTAGGTCTTATTTTCTTGTATAATCTATAAATCAAATTGCGCTTTATCATATAACAAATTAAGTAATCAACAATTGAATATACAAATAAATCATTAGCCTCTTAATGAGAAAAATAAAGATGCCAAAGACATTATGAAAGATACTGCAAAAAAGAATTATGAAAGATACTGCAAAAAGGAAAACCAGACACAAAAATTGAGCAAAATTTAAATGAAAATCTTTTTATTAAATCTAATTAAATAAAAATAAAATGGCCATGTAAATCAAAAAGCATTTTTTTCAGTACTTTATTTTCAAAATGCCATAAAGACATTGCTGTAAAAAATATATATTAGAAATTAGCAAAAGGTAATAATAAAAAAGAACGTGTTAAAAAAATAAACAATCCGATGATGAAAAATAACAAATAATATAAGATAAACAACATTTGAAGGCAAAAGATCTACGACTGCAAAAGCTAACAAATTGAAAATAAATAAATCTATTAAATCTAATAAAATTAAAATACCAGGTCTATTAGTATGAAACGCGAAAATGGCTGCCAGAGGGCGCTGTGCAACTTTATTTGAGCCGACGGTGGCGCTGTTGAAGGCATTTTGTTTTTTGACTCTCATCGCATCAGCATGCGTGGAGTTTTAGAAAAATTCAAATCGTGGAAAATTTCTGGAGCCCGTGGAAAATAGTGATTTCCGAGCCAAAAAGTGCCCATTTGCGGGAAGTTTTGTTGTTCGCCTTCAACTGGAAGAAAAGTGCCACTGAAGCCCACCGAATGCTCGAGGAAGTTCACGGCGACCACGCTCTGAGCAAATCGCAGTGTTACAGGTGGTTTAAAAAATTCCAAAGTGGCGATTTCGAACTTTATAATGAACCACGTGGAAAACCGCACCAACAGTTTGAGGACGCTGAACAGCAAGCTTTGCTGGATGAGGACAGTACCCAAACGCAGGAGAAACTCGCGAAACAGCTCCAGGTGTCTCAAGGTGCTGTTTCCCTACGTTTAAACAGCCTCAGAATGGCCCAAAAGCTTTCCAGATGGGTCCCCCACGAGTTGAGCGAAAGGCAGCAAGAACTGCGTCTGGTAACCTGCGAAGGGCTGCTCGCCAGGCATGAAAAGAAGTCATTTTTGCACCGAATCGTAACTTCTGATGAGAAATCGATCCACTTCAGCAATCATATGCGCCAAAAGTCGTGGGGCCTGCTCGGCCAATTTCCAAAACAGAAGCCTAGGCCCAATCGCTTAGGAAAAAAGGCAATGCTTTGCGTATGGTGGGACCAGACCGGCGTAGTATATTTCAAGCTCCTGAAACCTGGCGAAACGGTCAATACTAGTCGCTACGAACAACAAATGCACAGTTTGAGAGAGGCATTGAATGAAATAAGACCGGAATTGCGTGAAAAGCACAACAAGCTGATACTGCAGCATGAGAACGCTCCAGCCCACAACGCTACAGTGGTCAAAAAGACCATAAAAGACTTGGGCTGGGAACTCTTACCCCACCCGCCGTACTCACCAGACTTAGCGCCGTCGGACTACCACCTTTTCACATCTTTAGGACACGCCCTAAAAAACCAGGAATTTTTGAACTCAGACATACTACGAAAATGGCTTGTTGACTGGTTCGACTCAAAAGGAATAGAATTTTTCAGACAAGGAATTCGAAAATTGCCTGAAAGGTGGTCTGAGTGTATAGCTAATCAGGGCAATTACTTTGAATAAAAAAATCTTTTGTTGTATGGAATTGGTGAACTTTTGAATTCACTGAAAATTTTCGCGTTTCATACTAATAGACCTGGTAAAACGGTCATGTAAAGCAAAAAGCATTTTTTTTAGTATTTTATTTTCAAAATGCCATAAAGACATTGCTGTAAAGGGGAAAAAAACGTATACTTACAAAATATAAGTACAAAGATACAAAACAAAAGAACGTGCTTTCAAAACAAAGGAATTGATGATGATAAATGCAAAAAATCTACGATTGTAAAATAGATTAAATTAAAAAATAAAAATAACTGTTAACATTCGGAAAATAAAAACAGAACTATCATACGAAGAAAAAAATAACGAAAATTTTGGTATATAGATCGTTATGTGTAGTTCATAATCTTCGGAGGAGATAGCGCAGGACTTTACAATGGATAACTCTGTTACGGTATTATCTATATAGACAATTCTCATTTTATCATTCGTTTGGCAAAGTGATTTCATTTACCTATATAGATCTTAGTATGAATATTTATAACTTATATTTCTTTGTGAAAATCTGGCCTTAACTACCAGTTTCATGATTTTTCAGGATGCCTTAATGACCAATTTTTTGATCGTTGAGGTAGAGCTTGCACTACGCTGATGAGGGTCAACAGCCCGAAACGCGTCCGTGGTTAGCTTTTCTTGGTTAATCAAGAATGGGTATTTGGCCAATTCTGGAATAATTAATAATCAACGAGAATAGTTGATATTTATTCCGATAGATGGCGCAAGCCATCATCAACTTTCAGTTGCACGATAAGGAGATGCCCTTTTCTTAAATTATATTTCTTTATTATATTCATTTAATTTTCTTTTGACCAAAATGTTCATTCGATTTTCATTTTAAAATTCATAGTAATTGATTATATATTCAGATAGGTTCAGTAGATTCATGCATGTATTCTTCCATTGAACATGCTGATATTTTATAATGATATTTTTAAGATAGCTTCTTCGATTTTTTGAGCTTAAAAAATTCCAAGGTCGTGAAAGAGAGAGATGTCGAGTTTGTATTATTATGTTGTAAATTTTTCAATTCCTTCTCAATCAGTTGGAATTTCGTTTTCAAATAGTTTAGTAAGGATTATATTTCTACGGAAACATTGTATTCCATTATTGTATTGGATTCCAGAAATTATATTAAAGAGAGTGCTATTAAATTATTTATATATTAATTGGAGTTTTTTTTATATTTGATATTTTTTTATTATCCCTAGTCCACGTGGTAAAGGCCAGGATGATCATGGTGGGTAGTTAGCAACTGCTTCTACTGTAAGTGCACTACATGTCTACACATGTGAAAAACATTTCGAATTTTACACTTACAAATGTGCCAGAGCCCCGTTTGGTTACTTGCTTGAAAGAATAGGTGGCCATTGGAACAATTACTTTTCGTCGATAAAAAACATGTTTTCATATTTATATTGAGTAGCAATAATTCCAGCCAGACAGCACACGCAAACACATATATACACATTTTAATGAAGATAATTTAATTTTCATATTATAAATATTCACAAAAACAAAAATATATTATATATTCTATTAATAAGTTTTTTTTGTACAATTATGTGTGCTTTACCTATTAAATCTTATTCTATAAACGAACCAGAATCTAAAGCTGTTCAATGCAAATACAAAATATTTACAATTTTCCGCGAATGCCACCTGCCATTTATATGGCAGTGGATGTGACAAGCCGATTCAGGAATATATATCAATATCAATCTTTCATTTTAGTTTAGACATATTTATTACATTGTCATATTTACAAATTTACGCGAATGCCACCTGCCATTTATATATATATAGTGTAGAAACTATATAACAAAATTATAACAGTGATTCTAATTTTAAAAACTTAAGGAGCAAACTGATAATAATGATAACTTATATCAGTTAGATTTGATTAGATTAGCAAGCTAAATCTAAATTAATTATAATAATAAATAGTTATTTAATTTTATAGTCCAGTTTTGTATTAAGATTATCTTCACTATTATGATCATTTAAATACAAATTATAAAATTTGTAAAATGTTATTAATTTGTAGATAGAGAGAGAAAAAAAAAATCCTTTACTTCTATTACATCCTCAAGTTAATTATATATTTATAATTAATAACAATAAAAAAATTAACAAAGTAACGTCTATTACATCGGCTTTTACACGTCATTCAGACATACTCTAATCCTATATATAGAATAATCGAAGAGATAATATATATAATAGTTAGAAAAAAGAGAGAAAGACAGAACCATGCACTTTTAATCAAACTGATAATAAGGAAAAAAAAAAAAAAAAAAGAGTTTTATAAAGAAGGTAGATAAGATTGTTAGTATATATATATATTTTTTTTTATGATTTTATATTTTATCCTTTTTTTTTTTTTTAAAAAGATTTTTAAAGGTTTTTTTATTTTATAATATGATTATAAATAGTTGTATTTAGTAATATATCTATAGTATGAATTAACATTTGTTATAAGTTTGGATATTATGTTTTGAAACCCTAATGGTAGACCAGACATACATAAAAAACTTTAAATTGAAGTAAATTGGAAAAAGAGATCTGCTGGAACGGGGATCATCAGATAAAATTCCAGCGACATTTCAACCCCTTCTTTATTATGTCATAGATCTCTTTTAAACCGGATTTTATGTGTTAATATTAAGTTGTTTCAGTGAAATATTTAAATGAACATATATAACAGATACAATTGTTAACAAATTCAAACTGTAAACCTACCTCTGCCGTGGAGTCCTCCATTGTGAATATCTATTTCTGGCTAACACATGTCGCGGGAGGGGAATATCCCCCCACATTTCAAATTTAGACCATTTATTCAGAATTTTTTTGAACAACAAGAAAATTAAAGAAGAAAGGAAAAATAGTTAAGGGAAGAAAGCTAAATTTCATAATCTTTACAGCTAGTTATATCAAAATAACTGATTTAATACTTATTCATCTTTTAATATTCCTTTAAAAAGGCAAATTATAATAGTTTAATAAAGCTATTAATTGTGTAAATTCAACTTTATTTAACTTCCATTTTCCTCCCCAGAAATTGGAGATTAAACAAAAATGAACTATATACTTTAACACTTTAAAAATCTTGTGAAAAAATCTTTTAATCAGTTATTTAATCAAAGTTTAATTAACTGTTAAAGATTATAAATTTGTATTAGTTAATATTAATAGAAATTATAGAAAGTTGAATTCATAAATGGATATTTCCATTTATTTTTTTTAAAAATATTTTATAATTGATATGCTGTTGAAATATTTTACTTGTTTGATACTAAATTTGTTTTTAATAAATTCCATGTTTAAATTTTTAACATCTTCTATGAAATTATCTAATATATTATTTATTCTATAAAATCTTAGAAACTGACCATAATATATACCTTTACAGCAATTTAATGATATATTAGAATTCATATTACAGTATTTTATAATATTGAAATTATAATTACTCTTTTTGTTATAAACTCTAACAGCACTATTTGTAAGGTCTATATTCAAGTCTAAAAAGTTAACTTTTTTGTTTCTATAAATTTTTTCATTGTTCTTAAGTTTCAAGTATTTAGGATATATTTCAGGTATTAATTTTTTAAACAGTGGATTATTAAATATTATTATGTCATCTACATATCGGAATATTTGCCAATTAATATTATTTTGTAGAAAGTATTCTCTTTCGTACCAGAACAATATTAAATTTGCTAATAACGGACTAGAAGAGGTACCCATGGGAACGCCTTCTGATTGAATATATATTTTATTTTTAAATTCTATATAGTTAAAATTTAAAAATGTTTCCAGTAGAGTTTTTGCTGTTTTAAGATCTAATTTAAATGTTTTATATCTGTTATGAATAATTTTAATGTAGAAAGTTTTGTCATTAATGAATTCATTAAATAAATTGGTTATTTTATTATTTAGATCTCTTAAATTTATTTTAGAATATAGGTCCTCAAAGTCAAATGTGTGTACTGTTTCAATGTTTGTCCAATTGTTCATTAAATAATTAATGATTTTTTTATTTGAGTCGATAAATTTATAATTATATTTATTAGTTAATTTATTTATAATAAATTGTAGTGTTGAGGCTAATTGTATATCAATATTTTTTATGACTGAATTTATACCAGATGTGATTGTTCTGAAAGAAATAGGTTTTTTGTGTAGTTTAGGAATTATATAGAACTTTGGTATGTTTGGATTTTTGTGGTTATTATAAATTTTTAGTGAATTTTCAACATTTTTGATGTCTTTTTTGATTTTTGTGCCTGTAGTTCTAGCAAAAGTGTATTTATGATTATTATCAATTTCCTTTTTTAGTATATCGTGGTATAGATTTTTACAAATTAAAGATAAATTATTGGAACATTTATCTATAGGAGTGATAATATAGTCCTTCTGTAAATTAATTATATTTTCTTTAAAAGAAGGAATGTCTGAATTGGGTTTTGTGTATTTAAGTGTATTATTATAATAATTTATAATTTCCTTTTTAATATTATGTTTCCATTCCAGAAAAGTAAATTCTGGAATACTGTATCTTATACTAGTTTTATTTATGAAAATATCTATATCTTTTAATATAGATTTAATTGTATTATTATAATTGTGTTTAATTTGAGGTATATATTTATACCCTTTATTTAAAATTTCTTGATATTCTGGATTTAAAAAAGAAAAGTTGCTAGTTAATATATGACCTGAGAACTTATATTTATCAATATAGTTGTTGCAATTACATTTAATTTTTTTAAAATTTGCCAAATTATTA